CGATGTTTTTAGCAAAGAAGACTAAAAAACAAGGCTTGCATCTTCAAGTGAACCCTCCCTATTTACTTTCATGCAGTCTTCTCTTATTGTAGACTTGGATAAATTCTGAACCTTCTTTAGCTCTGAACAGATTATGAAACACTGAATGATTTCAAGCACACACTTTGTCTAATAAACTGGCATCTTTCATTCTTTATACAGATTGTGGGACTGTGGATTGTCAGAGATCAGCTGTTATTATCTGGCAGCAGCGCTGAAGTCCAACCCCTCCCATCTGAGAGACCTGGACCTGAGCTACAACAAGCTGAAGGATTCCAGAGTGCAGCAGCTCTGTGGTTTTCTGGAGAGTCCAAATTATAGACTACAGACTCTGAGGTCAGTCACCACATTTTAGTTGTGCGGAGATGAATATTATGTTGAAGTTGTTCTGATACTGCAGGTCAGACATGAGGCTGATAATATACTGATCCACACTGAGGATTGTTGTGGTAAAGTCTGTTGTCTTCTGCTTTTCCAGCTTGGCTTAGTACACCATTTATCAGTTGTGTTTTTACATTGCTCTCTGCAGGGTCAATAACAAGACAGTTAAATCTTCCAGAGACAAAACCAGTAAGTACTGAGACTGTGTGTCACATTCATCAGTATTTCATTAATAAAATATCCCATAAAAGCTAGTTTATGCTTATTTCATTCTGCAGAAATCTATAAATTCTGTTTTTTTGAGGATCTGTTTTTTAGGTACTGGTTTTTGTCAAAGTATTTTAATACTTTTTAAAATCATTTTAGTGATTGAGAAGGCAGCAGCTGAAGAAGATAGTGGGTACTTAAAGAAGCAAGAGAAATCCGTCACAAACAGTTTGTATTTACACTGTATATAATGTCTATTGATTGTATTGTTTATTTTAATATTTGTGTACAGCACTTTGTGACTGTCTGTCTGTGAAAAGCGCTTAATAAATAAACTTTACTTACTATTTTATCAGAAAACCACTACAAATGAACATGATGGTAAACAGCACCAGTTAGAGTTCCAGGGAATCCTGAATTATTTGATGTTTGTCTCTCATCAGGTGACTCTGAGGTCAGACTGAATCCAGACTCATTAGACACTCAGCTTGATTTGTCTAAGGATGACACAGAGCTCATTAAGGTAAGAGAAAAGCACGTGGATCTGTTTATTGTGTAATGGAACAAAAAAAGAGCACAGAAACTGTGTCAGGTGTGTTACATCACAGGGCAAATCAGTCGGGCCAGACATCCAATCAGGTTTAAGATTCAGTGTCATACGCAGTATTGGGTAAGTCACTTTGAAAAAGTAATTAGTTATCGTTACTAGCTACTTCTTCAGAAAAATAATACTGAGTTAGTAATTGAGTTAAAATATAAAAAAAGTAACTAATTACTAGGAAAAGTAACTATTGCGTTACTTTAAAAAAATGTTTAACCCTTCAGGCTCCAGGGTGTAATTGGCCATTTTTGACTACTTTTGATTTTACCTCTGCATTTCACCTTTAAAAACTGTTTATCTCGCCTTGTTTGGTTCATTCTTTTCAGCACAACCTCACGTCTGAATTTACAGTTATCTTTTCATTTTGACATACTGTATTAACACAACTGATCTAAAATCAGACAAAAACATAAAATCAGAGTAGAAAAAAGTTGTATGTTTTACTGTAACAACCACAAACATGTTTAACAAATCATTTTCATACCTTGAAATGCAAAAATAAATTGTAAATTTTAAAAACTTTTGCACAAGTTTTGCAAACAACAAAGTTATTTGCAGCTATTTATCTAAAAATGCAGCCAAGGTGTTGTTGTTTTTTTTAAAATAACCATTTCAAACTATTTACAGAACAATCAATTGTAAACATAACAATAGTTTCAGGAAAAAACATTGAGTATATTTTTTATCATAACTCTGGTTTTATCAACTCAATTTAAAAACTGGTATATAGTTTGAAGTCCACTCTTTTAACACAAAAATGGAGACTCGCGGTTGTCTTGGGCTGACATAGCATCTTCTTGCTATGGCATCTTAAACTGCTCATGTGATTTACCATGACTACTTTATTCTTCCTCAGCTAATCAGCAGCACTTGTGCGATTGTTTCGCTCCCCTAGCTCCCGATAAGCTGAAGACAGCTTCAACCATCTGTGACGATTCAATGACGTGTTGTGGGTTGTGATCACATGCTGCCTGTTTTGATGTGTGGCTCCTCCCATTGGTGTGTCTGTGTTACTAATGCCATTATTCCCTTCACTGGTCATACGGCATTCTGCATCATTTGATTTTGAAATTATTTTTTAATCAGACGATGAGTATTTTTACTCGCAGTTTTGAAATTATATACTTATAACTGCTGATGTGTACTCTGTGTGGTTTCTTCACTGCTTACTTGTTTGTTGGTGCTTTAAACAGCTGATGTTGTTCCTCTCTGATTTCCAGCCTCCATCAAGCTTCACACCTGAAGTACAAACTGAATCCACACAAATCTCCTACAGGTGCTTCTAGTTTCACATTAGACTGATAACATGTATGTAATGATGTGAAATGACACGTGTGATTAGGGATGGGTACCGGTGTCCGGTGCCATGATGGCACCAGTTCTGACATAAACAGTAGTAACCAGACCGAAAAGCAGCGCACATTTCGGTGCTTTTTTTTCCTGAGCTGTGATACACTTCTAGCCAATCATTTTACATTTCCGAGGATAGTAGGCGGGTCCAGGTACGTACGTTCT